AGGAGGATGGGGGCTAACCAGTTAGTGGTGCTCAACGTGTACGACATGGTGAGTGCGGCCCCTGGCGGCCCGTGCGAGCCGGCCGACCGGCCCGTTGGGACGGGCTGGGACCCCGGCCCGTGGCTTCCTGCCTGGCGTCCTCGCCTCCAGCTTAGTTCTCCGGGGGTGGGGGGAGGGGACCGTCGCGCTGTCTCCTAATCCCCAGACTGGCCGGCGCGCCTCCGGGAGATGCCCTGTCGGCCCGAGGGAGGGCTGGGGAACGAGCCTCCTCTGAGCTCGGCTCCCCTGACTGTGGGCCCGACCCCTGGGCGGGTGAGCCCTGCCCCCCCTCCAAGGCTTCCGTAGCGGTGCGACCTCCGCGCCACCGCCTGGCCTCCGAGCTGCCCGCTTGCCCCCTCTGCCATGCTCCTGCTGACCCTTGGCCGCCTCCAAATGCTCAAGTCTCCCACCAGCTCCCAAGCCCCTCGAGTCTAGAAAGTCATTGCTGCGATGCGGACGCTAGCGTCTCCCCAAAGGTGAACCAGAGCCAGTACACCTTCGCCTCCGAGGCCGCCTCATTAAAATGAATGAAGCTAAAATTTATCTAGAAAATAGCCCGGTTGAATTATTTAGAGACCACAGAGGTGCTCCTGTGCTAGATTCTGGAGACCACTTTGCAGGTGACGCAACAGGTGGATGACATGACCACTAGAGAGGGAAGGGAAGCCCTGTTTATTGTGTCGTCTAACTTTGAAGAACTGCAGACCACCAGACCAGGGGCAAAAGACTGGCCCCCCGTAGTTGCAGTTGCAATCCCCATAGAATGGTCGCCACAATGAGATTCAAGTTTGGGTTTGTTCCCTTGCCTTTGGTGACTTCAGTTTTTGTTTTGTAGAGGATTACCTTCGCTTGAAAAGCCTGAAATTCTGAAATTTTTTGTATGTGCGTTGACAGATGAGAAATTCTCCTTCATTATTTCTGTTGGCTTAAAAATACTGGAAGAAATTCGGCAGTAGGGAGTCTTGGTTCTTATTTACAGCTCTAAGCTCTTAGTATTGTTTATATAAGATTTTTAATGAACAAGGGATGCCTCATGCCATATCTAGGAGTTAACATTGACAGCCTGTAACTAGAAGTGAGGCTTCTAGGAGGTTCCAGTGTAAGTCTGGAGATGAAAGGAGGTGGATTAATAAACGAGGAAAAGTGAATCATGATAGAAAAAGTTGAATAACAAGAGATTCTAGAAGAGCATATGACTAATAGCCTACACTACTGGTTAAGAAATTATTCTCTGGATTTAAGCATTGTGTTCCGTTCCATGGGAATCCTTTCTTCAGACTTAATATTGCACTTTTATTATTTCAGTGCCTTCTGCCCATCAGACTTTGAATTTTTTTTTACTTGATGAAAACTATTATAAACCATCCCTCTGGATATGTTTGACTCTGGAGAATATATATTGAGGTATCATCTATATTTTTAATAAATTAGGAGTATACAGTGACCGACCAGTGGCCGTGGTTATAGAGTTTTGCTTTTTAAATTGGAAATGCATTATATGACATATAGTGTGTGTTCTGTGAATCGGGAAAGTAGTGGGGTCTAGGGAAGATACTCAAACTAATGTTTTTTAGGGGAAGAGTGTTTTAAGTGATGTTAAAATATGAAGCAATTAAAAAAATTATTGCTCCTATCTCTAGTTGCAGAGAAAGCAGACAGAAAAAAAGGGCAAGTGAACTTCCCAGGTGACTAAAAGCAGGGTCTAGAATTTCTAGGTGACAGTCTTGATTCAGTATTGTCTCTTACATATTGCTTTATTTCATCAAGAGGAAGAGAAGCATTTGAATAAAAATGTTTTAGAAACTTGCCCTTGTATGTTCTTTTGAGTACTTTTGATCTATGACTGCTTATATCACTAATTCAGAAACTTATCGATACTTAATTTTGACACTGTAGAATCCACAGATAGGCTCTGTTACCTCTCCGCTCTAAGGAATTTGGGATAGCATAAGGAAGACACAAGAAGAGTTATCATTTGAAGCAGATTAGCATTATTTTACTCAGAGCAGAAGAGGATGCAAAGGAGATGGTTTTGTAGCTGTAGAATTAGGAAATGCTGAAAGAGAAAAAGGGGTGAACTAGAGGCAGTGGTAGGACAAGAATAGGAAAGCACAGGCTGACATAGAAGCTGGAAGGTAGGATGCATGAAAGAAAACAACTAGAGTGAGGGAAGGATTGTGAGGACTGTGAGCCAGGGGAAACACTTGTTGTCCTCAGGGGGAACAATGTGATCACAGACTTTAGCACAAAGCCAAGTGGATTAAGGTGTACATTTTTCTCTGTTACACCCATTTTTCTCAAATCAGTTTTACTTTTTGATGTGTTTTGCTTGATGTTCAGGGTAAATTCCTTTTATCTTTGGTTATAATTTCTGTTCTTTGTAGATGCCTTTGATGATAATTGTGTTTGTTTATAAGCCTGGTATATCAACTTTTCCAAAATCAACCACTGGATTTTCCTGTTGTAATCATCGATCAGTTGCCATGTATCCTTGTGTCTCTTTGTCACCTGCTTCAGCTGTGACTGTATTTTTCCTGTTCATTAGATTGGATGGCTGTATATCATTCTTCTTCTTCTACACCTACCACATATATGTAAATAATCAGCAGGGTTGCCTACTACCTTTCTTTTTGTGGAGGACTAATATGGTCCTCAAAAGATTATGCTAAATTGTTACTTATTTTCTTTTGGTGATTATAGCTCTCTGTATACTTTGGGGCAACCTACTACCAATTAAATAGGGCCAGGCATAATTCTCTGAAACTTGGGAATGGATTATTCATATATTCCTCATTTATCTGTATTTATAGAAAGTCAGGCAAATCAGATTTCTTTCCATTACTGCAATAAATCTCTTTATTTTTAATAGCTCCAAAATTTGTGTATTTCAGGCTATCTTAGCTACTAATGAATTTCTTAAAAGTTAAAATTTGCAAGTGTTTTGTGTTTATCAATTCATCCTAGAAACAAGTTTCTTCCTTTTAAAAATAGTACCTGTGTATTTTCAGAGTCCTTAAAAAATAGAAAAGAAGCCTGGCAGTGGTGGCACATGCCATTAATCCCAGCACTTGGGAACCAGAAACAGGTGGATATCTGAGTTCCAGGCCAGACTGGTGTACAGAGCAAATTCCAGGACAGCTAGGGCTGCACAGAGAAACACTGTCTTGAAACCCAAAAAAGAAACAAAAACGATAACAAAAAATAAGAAAGAAACATCCTAGAAGTCTTCCGGTTAAGGCATTTTTAATTGGCCTGATTCACAGGCTCCTCCAAGAGAGTAGAAAGTTAGCAAGTATGATGACTTTTCTTTCATAGATTTGTTGATTTAGTTCAGACTTTTTTGGCTTGTTGTTGTTGTTTGTTGTTTGAGACAGGGTTTCTCTGTAGCTTTGGAGACTGTCCTGGATCTAGCTCTTGTAGACCAGGCTGACCTCGAACTCATAGAGATCTGCCTGCCTCTGCCTCGAGTGCTGGGATTAAAGGCATGTGCCACCACCGCTCAGCTTAATTAAGACTTTTTAAATGACATTCATGTATACTTATTTATTATATACTAAGTACACTTTTCACTGCACCATCTCCATACAGTCTGAGTCCATATGTCTAGTAGCGGACTTTGCCCCTCCTTTCTTTGCCTCTCCTATGCTTCCCTCTCCCTCCGTGAACAACCATACCCCTGCCAAGACCCACCACTGCCTCTTTTGATAGCCAGTACTCTACTCAGTATCTCAAATCAAAAACTTGGAAGTAAACCTAAATCTCTCTTTTTTAATAAACCCTTCTTCAATCAGTCACCTGGCTTTGTCCAGCTCTTAGTTTTGGTTGATCTGTGTGAAAGTAACAGAACTTGACAATCAGTAGCTTAAATTGGCAAGATAATGTCTTAAAAAGCCCCTGAGATAGTTCATCAGCACAGTCATGTCATTAAGATTTTGCAACCTCCTGCTCTTCTGTGCTCAGCTTGCTGGCATTTGTCTTTGTGTTCTCAGAGTTGCAAAATTACTGCCATAGTACTAAATTTGGTGTCATCGTAGAACAGAATGTGGAAGTAAGATGTAGTGGGATGCAGGGAGGGCTCTACCTGTACCCACACTCTAGCAGAAAGGAAAAGCTTTGGCAGAGCTACCCTCTTTCCCTCCAGAGAGTGTTCAGAACTGGCTCACCTAAAACTATACTGAACCTGAATAAGTGGATCCACTGGCTTTCTAGTCTTTATAGGCAAGTTATAGATAGCTAGTTGTAATTTAATTAGGGTGTTGGTTACACATTTGACTCTGAATTGTGTGTCCATATGTGGAAATCAAACAACCTCAGGTTTTTTTTTTTTTTTCTGATGGGTTTCTAACTGGCCTAGAACTCACCCAGTTACTAAATTGGCTAGTGAGCCCCAGGAATCCACTTGTTTCTGCCTGTTCTGTGCAGATATTACAAATACCATCATGCTTGGGGCTGGAGAGATGACTTCACAGTTAAGAGCACTGACTGCTCTTCCAAAGGACCCAGGTTCAATTCCCAGCATCCACATGGCAGCTCACAACTGTCTGTGACTCCATTTCCAGGGGATCTGATACCCTCACACACACATACACGCAGACAAAACACCAGTGCACATATAAATACTATTGTGCTTGGCTTTTTAGGGGGTGGGGGATAAGAATCTCTCACTATGTAGCATTGGCTGTCCTGGAGCTTACTTTGTAGACCAGGCTGGCCTGGAACTCAAAGATCCTCCTTCCTCTGCCTCAAGAGTCTTAGGATTAAAGGTGTGTGCCATCATGCTCAGAAGCTTTTGTTTTTGGTTGTCATTTTGGGTTTTTTTCCCCCAGAACATAAATTTCTGGAGATTGAACTCAGATCTTCATGTTTGCAAGGCAACCACTTGATCAACTGAGCCACCCTGCTGTCCCCAACTTTTTTTAATGTTTTAAAATTTTTCAGATTAGATTAATTCATTTTTCTTCCTCTTTTACCGGTTTGTATGTGTGTAATTTTCTTGTTATTTGGTTGTT